CTTGCAGACTCATTTTCTCCCGTGCTGGGGAAGGGATGCCATCACAACACCCACCGCTAGGGGACATCCTCCAACACAGCTTAGCTGTCCCCGCAGGAGCTGTGGCTCTCCACCGTATCAGAGCATAGCACCCTCTTTTCTTACAGGAGCCCTTACTGTCCTGAAATGAGATTCATTATGTGTGCATCACTCCACTAAACATATCTTTAAAAATCAATATAATGCTCTATTGATTATATAAAAGAGAAAAAATAAGAAAGTAATTTATAATAAAATATTATGTATTTCCACATTAAAGCTTAGGTCCAAATACACCAGAAAATACATATAGTTTAGTAGTCAGATTCTATACATAGAGGCAATTGCTAAAATGCAGGCAAATACAGGTGCATTATGTTGAGGACTCAAATACTTTGAGTGGCGTTGCCATCAATGACAAAATGACTGAAGATGAAGTCATTGTAAATCTCCACCACACCGAGCTAATCACTTCCCAAACACCCTACCTCCTGAGACCGTCACATTGGGCATTATTAGGATTTCACATGAATTGGGGGATGAGAGGGACACAAATATCGACAGCACTATTTACACATAAACACAATACTTTTACACATAAAGCAGAATTTTTAGGGTTGTTTTCATAGATACTGGGGTTTGGGTGGGTTTGAGAGAGAGAGAGAGAGGGGATCCCTGGTGGAGCTTTCATGAATGGAATTAGTGCTGGTATAAATGAGACCCCATTTGTTTTTATTTAAGTTCAATTTGCCAACATATAGTATAACACCCAGTACTCATCCCATCAGGTGCTCTCCTCAGTGCCCGTCACCCAGTTACCCCATCCCCCTGCCCACCTCCTCTTCCGCAACCCCTTGTTTGTTTCCCACAGTTAGGAGTCTCTCAGGGTTTGTCTCCCTCTCTAATTTTTCCCACTCAGTTCCCCTCCCCAGAGGGAGAACACCAGACACATGTCCCCACATGGGGACAGAAGAAAATGGCAGTCTGCAGTCAGGGAAAAAGCTCTCACCCTTGACCATGCAGGCACCCCTGAGCTCAGACTCCAGACTCCAGAGCTGTGAGAAATAAATTTAGGTTGTTTAGAAGCCACCCCATCCATGGTACTCTGCTATCACTGCTCAAACAGAGTAAGACAGTTACATTCTTGGCTCAAATAATGATAGTGTTTTGTTTTGTTTTGTTTTGAACTTATATGAATGTTTCAGAAGGGCATTTGGAAGTTGGACAGTATGAGGAGCAGTTCCTCTCTGGGCATATTGTGATATCTGGCCTCCCTGACCCCTCTCCTAAATTCCAAAAGTGCCCCACAACCCAACTATCACGACAACAAAAAATACACCAACAAATTCCAAAATGCCCCTAAAAGTGCTTCAACGCTCATGGACAAAAGCAAAAAGGGCCTCCTTTCTACCCTCATGTATATATCCCTTTGGCTCTCAGATGAGAGGGAGATTCTCCTCTTACCCCCAAAAGACTGGCCCTAGGAGACATCCTTTGATGGGACATTGTCTTCAGTTCAGATTTAGGGTACATCTCTATCTTGGTCTCTACATTTGTCATCCAGAATTTCACACACAGCTTTGGAAGGAGTTCCAAAAAGAAACAGGAAGAAATGCAGAGGGAGGGACGCCTGGGTGGCTTAGCGGTTGAACATCTGCCTTTGGCTCAGGGTGTGATCCCGGAGTCCAGGGATCGAGTCCCATATCGGGCTCCCTGTATGGAGCCTGCTTCTCCCTCTGCCTATGTCTCTGCCTCTCGCTCTGTGTCTCTCATGAATAAATAATAAATAAAATCTTAAAAACAAACAAACAAAAAAGAACCAAACAGGAGATAGTGAAGTAACCCAGAGAACTGCAACCACAGGAAGCCTTGACTGGGAGGTAGGGGGAGGAGAAGGCGGAGTTACCACAGGCTTCAGGTCATCCACTGAAAGCTGGAACCCCAATAAGCCAGTCCACAGAGGAGACCGGGTCACTGTGAAGAAGCCACTAGAGGCAGAGAGAGAAGGGAATAACCCTGGTTTCTCTCTTGTTGTTTACGCTCCAATCTCTACTTGCCAAAAGCCATCAGCAAACCCAGGAACCTGGAAAACCAACCCTTATCAGTTGTGCTCTTCTGTAGAGAGCAGTCGAGGAAGAGCACACCCACATGGGATTTTGTTGTTGTTTTTCCAGAAGAAAGCATCTCAAGCCTCCTTTAAATAGTAACCCCCAACACCTTTAGACGAACTTGATAGAACAACAAAATTTTTGAAATATCACATGTAGCTTTACAACCATCTATCACATAAGCAGCTATCTTTTTATACCTATACCTCACTGAATATCAGAAAAAGAAAGCATTCTTGAACGCCTCCTTGCCAAGGGTCAGCAGAACCAGTTGCCAGGCTAAAACTTCAGAGTACGGAGTTTGCTTAACTCACTACCTGAGGGAAAGGGAAGCTGGCCACAGAGGGTATGGTCATCTGGCTAGTGTTTTTGGAAGGCCAATTTACTGGAACGCTTTCAGGTGGCCTTTTGCAGGATTATATATGGTGTCAGGAGCTGGCCCGCTTGTGCTAGGAGTCCTGGACATAATTCTTCAGAAATGCAGGGTTCTGGAGACTTCTGGGTCACTAGAGGAGGTTCCGTGTGAAGGTCCTGGCTTCTGAGCTACCCTTGAGGCCGCTTTCTGACCATCACCTGAGGGGGTAGAGTTGGAGCGCCCTCTAGGGGAGAGCTGGCTGTTGCCCCCTGTACCCCACCCCCACCCTCCCTGCCTGCTGGGCACCCCACCCCTTCTGCAGTGCTGGTGCTTACCAGTGTGTTTTCTTCCAACACTCCATGACATATGGCTGTGGTCTTATTAGCTGTTGTGTCAAAGGCAGTGCAGGACAGACTATATTCTGCGTGTGCTGTCACACATTCGGTGGAATTGCCAGATAAATTACAGAAAAGGCGAAGGGCCGCAGAGAGGAACCGGGTTCCAGAGCCCTCCAAGCCCAGCCACAGAGCATGGCCCAGTACGGCGGCCAGCATCTAAGGAGAAGCAGACAGGATGTCTCTGGGAGCACGACTCTCCTGATTGACAGTGGTTCTTAAAAAATCACTTCATCCTGTATTTTTTGAAGGAGGTGACCGCCCCCTGGTCTGTACCTGTTGCCACCACTGACTGCACCTCCCCCCCCCCATGGGTCTGTCTATCACCGCATCTGCCCCTGGGATCTTTCTAGGCAAATCAGATCAGCCAGGCTCACAATCCTCCAAAGGCTCCGCCAGGCTTTAGGATAATAGCCCCAGGATATTTGGTTGCACACCCCCTCCAGGGATCTCTCACCTACAGCCCTTGCTCTGTAAATCCCGGGCACCCAGCTACACCCTGTACTTGGGGGAAAACAATCTTCCCAGGCAGGGGCAGATGCCCACCCTAGCAACTCATTTTTTTTTTTGTTTGTTTTTAATGGTTAAGATAGTAAATTTAATGTTTCGTGTAGTCTATAACAACTTAAAACAACAGTAATTTCTTTCCTTTTCTTTTGTTATTTATTAGTTCATTAAGGCTTCTCTAAATACATTACCTCCTGAATAACGTTTTACAGTTCTTCAAGTTACAATTTAAATTCCAGGCACTTTAATTTCTTTCTTTTTTTTTATTGGAGTTCAATTTGCCAACATACAGAATAACACCCAGTGCTCATCCCGTCAAGTGCCCCCCTCAGTGCCCGTCACCCAGTCACCCCCACACCCCTCCTCCTCCACCACCCCTAGTTCGTTTCCCAGAGTTAGGAGTCTCTCATGTTGTCTCCCTCTCTGATATTTCCCACTCATCTTCTCTCCTTTCAACCCCAGCAACTCGTAATTCCAGCCCGTCCCTTTGCCTCCTGGCAAGGCCAAGTGTGGAGCACAGGCTGGGCCTTACTCCTCTGAGTATCCCCAACATCCAAAGCCTGCACTCAAGGATATTTGAACAGTGCTTCACAGTTTGCACAGCGTTTCTCACATCTGCCCATTTAATCCTCCCAACGCTCGGGGAGCAAGTAAATTACGCAGGCAAGGGAACCGAGGCTGGAAAGGTCAGGGGCCCACGCTGGGCCCTCGGTGGCAGCACCGGGACTCGCACGCGGGGCTCCCCGAGGGGGCCGCACGCAGGGCTGAGCGCGCCTCGGGCTCGGGGTGCGCGCTGACCCGCCACGGCCGGGCACAGCCCCCGCCTCACCCCCGCGCCCCCGCCTCACCCCCCGCGCCCGCGCCCGCGCCGCATCCTTAGAGGAGACGGCGATTCCAGCTCGGGCGCGTCACGAGGATCGAATGAAACAACGCATGGGGGGCCGGACGGCGCCTGGCTCCCCGCCGCAACCACAAACGCGAGTCCCCTCGCGGGCCCCGAGCCGGGCGAGCTGCTTCCCCGTTTCCGCGGCGGCGCCTCCTTCCCGAGCTCCGGAGGCCGCGGGGCTGCCAACTGTGGAGCGGCGCGCCCGTCCGGACGTGGCCGCCCCGCCGCCTCGGGCACCAGCCGACCCCTCGAGGAGCGTGGGCACTGCGGACACAGCAGAGAGGCGACGGCGGGCGGGGGTGGCACCTCGCCGCGCGCACCCCCCGTCTCGCCCGCCCCCGGCGTCCCGCCCGCGGCGCCCCCGCTGCGGCCTCCCCTCCGCGGCCCTGCGCGCCGCCCCCGGAGCCTCGGAGGCCGGCAGGGTGCCCGCGCCAAGGCCCGGGGGCCGCGGCCGCGCGCGAGCCCGGGGAGCGCAGGCCCCGCCCCACCGCGGCGCCGGCGGGCGGGAGGCGGGACCTGCGCGCGGCGGGGCCCGGGAGGCGGGAGGCGGGAGGCGGGACCTGCGCGCGGCGGGGCCCGGGAGGCGGGAGGCGGGAGGCGGGAGGCGGGACCTGCGCGCGGCGGGGCCCGGGAGGCGGGGCGCGGGGCGCGGGGCGCGGGAGGCGGGGCGCGGGAGGCGGGGAGCGCGCGTGCAGTTCGTCTCCGCGCGGCCACCGGGCGGGCGGGCGGGCGCTGCCGGGAGCCGGGCGGCCGTGGGCGGGGAGCGCGCCGCCGGCGGCCGGGTGCGGAGTCCGGGGGATGCGAGCGGCGGGGAGCCGCCGCGCCGCTGACCGGGTGAAGGCGAGCGGCGGCGACCTCAGCGAGGGGAGAGCCGGGCGACGGCGGCGGCCAGCCCCGCGGGGATCCGGGGCGCCGGGGGTGCGCGGGGCACGGCGGCGGCGCGGGAGCGCGGGGCGCAGACCGGGCGGGGCCGGGGGACAGTGATGAGCGGGCGCGCGGGGAGGCTGCACGCCGCCGCCGCCGCCGCCCGGAGCATCTGCCGGCACAGCTGCCGCTCGCGGCCCGGGACCCGGCCATGGAGACGCTGAACGGCCTCGCGGGCGGTGGCGCCCCGGACGCGAAGCCGCTGCCGCCCGGGCAGCACCACCGCCACCACCACCTCCACCCGCTGGCCGAGCGTCGGCGGCTGCACCGCGCGCCGTCGCCCGCCAGACCCTTCCTCAAGGACCTGCACGGCCGGACCCCCGCGCCCGGCCCGGCCCCGGCCGCCCCCTCCTCGGGTCGAGCCCCGGCGCCCGCCGCCCCGCGCACGCCCAGCCTCGCGGGCAAAGCACCGCCCTCGCCGGGCGCCCCGGCCGCGCCCGGCCGCCCCTCTCGGCGCAGCGGCGGCGCCCCGGGCGCGAAGGACAAGCCGCCGCCGGGCGCCGGGGCCAGGGCAGCGGGCGGCGCCAAGGCCGCCCCGGGCCTCAGGAGGGCGGCGCGCACGGCGCCCGCGGACCTGCTGCCCCGGGCGGGGAGGCCGCCGCCGCCGCCGCCGCCCGGGACCGAGCCGCCGTCCGCCGCTGCCAAGGGCCGCAGAGCCAGACGCGGCTCCGGCGCGCCCCCCGCCCGGGCCCCCGGGCCCCCGGCCCCCGCCGCCCCGACCCCCGCCGCGACCCTCGCCGCGACCTCCTCGGCCGGCCCCCCGGCTCCCGGGCCGCGCATCAGCCACACCGACAGCAGCTCCGACCTCTCCGACTGCCCCTCCGAGCCCCTGTCCGACGAGCAACGCCTGCCCCCCGCCGCCAGTAGCGACGCCGAGTCCGGCACCGGCTCCAGCGACCGGGAACCGCCGCGGGGCGCCCCCACGACGAAGCCCGCGGCGCCGCCCGAGCCCCCCGCGCTCCTCGCCGCGCCCCCCGCCCCCGGCGCCTGCCCCGGGGGTCGCAGCAGCCCGGGATCGGCCGTGGCGGAGGATGCCGGGGGGCGCGCGCCGCTGGAGCCGGCAGGCCCCGGGACGCCCAGGGATCCCGGCCCGGGCGAGCAGACCCGACTGGTGCCGGCGGCGGTGGAGGAGGAGCTGCTGCGGGAGATGGAGGAGCTGCGCTCCGAGAACGACTATCTCAAGGTGAGCAGCAGCGGGCCCCGCCGCGGGTGTCCGGGGCGGCCCCTGAGGCCCGGGCGCTGGCGGGGACCCGCGAGCCCGGCCTGCCCGGCCTCCCCGGCCCCGACGCGCACGCTCTCCCCCTTCTGCCCTTCACTCTCCCGCGCCCGCACACAGGGGCTTTGGGAACTTAGAGCTAAAACTTCTGGAAGGAGCAGCGAGACCTGTGGGTCTGGCCAGGTTCTCACCCCACTTGGCTTCTCTTGTTTCTTGAGTCTCGCTGCTGCCTGCTGACGCCTTCGCCTCCGTAGATGTGCTGGGGGAGAGGGTCACAGCTGACACCCCCACCCCTCGCCCCTGGGGTCGGGCCGCCCCTAGCCGAGGAGCTCTGCTCCGGGCCTAGTGCAGGTGTGTGCAGTTCGCAGCCTGCTCTGGCGAGGCGGCGGATGTGCCAGATGCTTTTCCTGCAGTTAAAGAAGTGAGGCCCCCTCTGCTTCTCTAGGTGGGGCGGGGGAGGGGGAGCTCCCTGTTTTTGGTGATAAAACTTAAGTTCAAGGGTCCCATGAGTGTGTCCCGGGTTGAGGGGCAAGGGGTTGGCTGGTTGTCCAGCCAGTCGCCAGTCCTTTGTGGGCGACCATAAGCCCGTTTTTCGTGTCGGAAGAGGCCACTTGATTGCCCTTGCACGCCAGCACTTTCGAGGGAATTGCAACCTCTGCTGCTTTGTCTGAGTATTTTTCACGAGGTCTTGCTATTAAGGGCCTCTTGGTCTTGTTAGCTTTGGGGCACTCAATCCTACTTCCATTTATTCCTCCCAGGAGGAGGGCAGCTTGGGCCTGCAGAACAGAGGACTTAGTGTTGGGGTCACGACAATTTGAAGTGACTCGAGACAAAATAAGGGGGATTGGTTTGGGGGCAATTACTTTATTATAGTCTTCAAGTTAGTAAATAACTACAGCGGTATAAATCTTTTCATGCTTCTGTTAAGACTCTAATATGGATCTCGTCCTATACCAGTGGATGGCGCTCCTTTATCTGGGTTATCTGATTCGTACTTTTTCTAAGCAAATGTTGGACCTACCCAAATGAGGCCCAGTTTTTGGCCAGCGGGACCAAGGGCATGGGCTTTTAAGGTGGTTAAGTGTGCCGTTCAGGCTGACATTAGAAATAGGCTCACTGCTGAGTTTTCTAAACCTAAATCTTTTTTTTTTTTTTTTTTTTGCTGCAAAAAGCTTTATTGTCTCCATTTGGTCCACGTTTTGGGAAAGGGCTCCAGAATGTCTAAACCTAAATCTTGAATCAGGAGCTGTTCTCCCCAACTGACAGCCCAGTAGCTGTTTTGCCTGCAAAGAGGTAGCAGTGAGGCAGAGGAGAGGTGAGAACATAGTAGGAGTTTGGAGTAAGATGTTTCAAGTATTACATTTGCCTGTGTCACCCACTCTTGTGTAATAGACACCAGAGTGATTTTCCGAGGTGCTGAAGAGATAGGGCAGTGAAGTCGAATGTGACTCCATCTTGAAACCAGCACTTTTGTAAATTTTCAACAAATGTAAACCCCCTAAGGGCAAGAAAGATGCTCTTGTTGGGTTATATAACTGCAGCTCTTAGCATGATCCCTGACCCACAGTGTTTCTGATTAAATGATGTTTATCCAAATCGTGATCTGACCTGCTAAGCAACAGGAAATTGAGGGTTCTGTAAGAGAAAAGCTGTTTCTCGTTGCATCTTTGATCTAAGGTAGGCAGCTCGACGGTCATTTCAGAGTTCATTGCTGGGTGACTGTTTATTTGCTTTATCCTTCACGTTGGTAGATTCTCAGGGAATGAGCTAGGTGTCTGATCCTGGAGTCTGAGCTGGTATATTTGATATTTCAGTGAGTCTTCACAACAACATAGGGTGTACTTGTCAGATTTATCAGAACCCCAATTTCGCAGACAAGGATGCTGGAAACCCGGAACATTTAACTGACTAACCCAAGGCCATATAGCTAGTAGGAGGTGCAGCTTCTCTTTTTCCTGCTCCAGAACCTTTGCCTTTTTCCCTGCACCAGGCTGCATCCCTGTTCCCAGCAAGGCTGATTTTCTCACTGTAGCTGGCTTGCTTTAGTGTTGTTATGAGCTTGAAATGTTCCCACTGTTGAGCTCTCCTAGGGGACCTCTTTTCATTTTAGGTGAAAGGGCCATAATGAACACCTCTCCACTAGCCTGTGTACAGATGGGCATATAAATCCCACTGACAAGGTTTAATTTGTGGGAAACATTCAGTTGCTGGTTCCTGGAGAGAAAGTGTCACGGCCCACCGTTCACTCTGCCTGAGTGTATCTCCCGGCCTTCCCTCCTGACAGCAGGAGAGAGAAGTAGATAGAGGAGCTCTGAAGGGAGCTTCTGAAGGAAATCAGAAGTCCACATGCAAATATAGATGTGAGTTAATGTGTTTGGTTATTCAGGAGCTTAAGTTCCAGGAGTTCAATTTGGGCAAAAAAAAACCACAAGAGTCCTGGTAGACTAAAGGTCAGTGAGTGTGCCCACTTGTGCAGAATGGGCCTGTGATCATAAGTGGCCCCAAGGGGCAGGGGTGGGAGGTATGCGTTGGCACGGGGTGTTTAGAGCACCTTAGAAATCGGAGCTTCTCTTTCTGTTGCCCTTGTTGCTCGCTGGTACTTTTTTCTCATGGTAGACAAAAGTGCATCCTTGACCTACTGCTGTCTTAGGGAACGTCGCACAGAACTCTCTGATTAGACGAAGCATCCCTCTATTCAGATGCTACCTAACAAGAGGAGGCGCGGCCCAGAAATTTTACTCTGGTATATTCTGGAGGATTGTGACCATGTTAAGTATCCCATTCTTTCCGAAGTCAGTTTTGTCACCATTAACTGTACAAAACTGTCATACTTCCCGAGCTAGGATTACCAAAGAGTGATCAAGCAGATACAGAAGGTCTGCAGAACCATAGGGGGATGTCTTATGTGATCAGGAAATTCAAGTGGAGTTGTCTTGGTTTTTAGCCAGCCTGCTGTATTTTTTAAAATAGATGTCAAGAGAGAAGTACGTACGTTGGGCTGTGCTATGTGGAGCTGTATGGGACATCCCGGACTCTGCTTCCTCTTCCTCTTCTACCTTCATCAAAGGCCATCAAGGAGGCTAGATGAAAAATGCGCCATTATTCACCCCCCAGGTGGCTGGCTTTTTGCACAAAAGCACAGTCAGAAAAGCAGTCTTGTCCCTTTACCCCCGATGAACTTACATATGTTTGGAAGTCTTCAGAGATAAGGTGAGCAGTTGAGTTCAGTTGTCTGGAGGCCTTTGCTTCTATTTCAGAGGGAACCCAAGCATGTTTCTCTCTGACGAGAACATCCACAAAATGTTGCTGGTGTATTCGCTGCCTTCCTGTCTGCCTGCCACCACCGTGTTTTGCTCGAGTGCTCTGAGACAATCAGAACCGTCTTAGTGCTCATCATGAACATATTAATTATGTTCTCTTTCCATGGGCTTTTCGGGAGGATTTAATCACTTTGAGTTTATTGGCCTATTTTGAAAATGCTCTTCGAGTTACTGGTGATGTGTCCAAATAGTGTTCTCCAAAGCGCCAATGTCCTACAGGATGGGCACCGGTTGATGTGGCGAAGGGCTGCTTTTTTTTTTTCTCCCTGCTTTCTCAGTGATTTCATAAGAATTATTTTTGTTTATTTTTTAAAAGATTTTATTTATTTATTAGAGACAGAGACAGAGAGAGAGAGGCAGAGACACAGGCAGAGGGAGAAGCAGGCTCTGTGCAGGGAGCCTGACGTGGGACTCGATCCTGGGTCTCCAGGATCACGCCCTGGGCTGAAGGCGGCGCTAAACCGCTAAGCCACCAGGGCTGCCTAAGAATTATTTTTGTTTAAGACAATAAAGTCACTGCTAGGTACTAGGACATCCGATCATTAGAGAGGAGTGATTTCCCAAGGGAGGTTATTGGCAGGGTCATTTGAGGTTTTATAGGTTGCAGTGCATCACCACTGATCCAACCTTACCATCCTGTCTCTCACTGAGTAGGCTTTTGAGTTTCAAGCTCTGAAATGGTTCTGTTAAATTTGGCTCTTTGGATTCCAGGTGCTCGGCGTGGCCTGGAGTGGACACTCTGAGCCAGAGTAAACAGTTCTGAACAGCTCAAGTGTTGAGCTCCTCCTCCCCCTTTCTTTTAGAAGGGTTAAAGTGGACAGTGGTCCTATTCTTTCCTGACATTCCACTTTCCACACCCATTCTTTATTCAGCCTGCGAAAGAGCGGCTCTAATCATCTTAGGTGACAAGATAATGTAGACCAGGGCAAACAGAGCCCATCAGCTGCTGGGTGAACTGTCACTTGGTAAACAATGGTAGCGGTCCCCATGCCTTCTTAGCTACAGCTGGGACTGCGCAGAGAACATTTTCATTGTCCAGAGGGAAATGAGGTGGATTATTTGTATATTATGACAGACGATCGTTTCTGTCTGCAACTCCCAGAAGATGGAATTATTGCAGGCATAGTCAGATGACTGCTCCCCTGTCCAAATTGGGGTCTGTTTAAAGAAGGGTTATTAAGATATTAATGTGGAACTAGTTATTGATCTCAAATTGCTTAAAGGAGATGATTTGAATAAAACTATCAGTACGATCAAGAGTTTGCATCCCTTAATTTAAGATACTGTGGACTTAGTTTTTATTTTTTTGTGTGTGGGTAAAACTGTTTTCATTGAAATGCTCCATTTTAATCTTGGTTTACTGTAGTGCACACATGGTACCTCATTATTTCTGTAATTTGGTGTATATATAATAAGGCTCCATCTGATATCTGCAGGCAAAGGGGAGTAGTTGGGGAGCTTCACACTACCTCAAGATTTCATTTTATATATGAAATTTGAAAAATAGATTTAATTAAAACTAAATTAGCTTTTCAATGAGGTAATGATCGAACAGTGAAGTACACAGCAAACCTGATGTTAATACTTTATAAAACTGTTGATTAAGGGCAAGTTTTTTCTTAGTTTCTGTGTATAAAAAAAAAAACCCAGCAATTTTCTACTTTTACTTACTATGTTTAAATTATATTTGCTAGAAACATATGTTCTGCTTGATTTGGTTTTCTTAAACATTTAAATGCCAGACATTTTTAAGGTTCTTTAATACAACGTGTTCTAAATTAGAGTGTGCTGTCAGAAAATTAATGTAATGGTAGCTTGAAAATCACTATCCTTCGTGACCCTAATCCGAATAATCACAGTTTTTGCTTTTCAAATGTCTGCTGCCAGCTTATGTGGTTTATAATTTTCTTTTCTTGTAACTTCTTTTCACTGAACCTGAAAACTGCTTTTTTTTTCAAGGCTCTATGAAAAAAGTTGGAACACTGGCCTTGGTCTCATCTCTGTACCAGACTAGTGTCTGAAAAGCCATTTAAATGTTTAGAGTCTCAATTTCTGCATTTAAAAAATGGGGGTATTAATACCTTTGCTGCACAGTGCAGTGTTTTTCTGAGGGCCCATTGAGATCATGGGCCCTCAGGAAATGTTATCGAGATCTAAAAGTGTTAACTTGCTTCATTATTGTCACACCTATGGTGGGCTTTTAAAATCATGATTTAAGGCTTACTATTGTTTCATTTTTCCTGGTTGTTGCAAATAATTTATAGTATTCACTGAAAAGAGCATGTGGTTTTGCAGTCTAGCTTCTGTTTATTAGCTATGAGGCTTTGGACATGTTCACCAGCGTGGATTTGCTCTCCTTGTCCATGAAATGGATAATATGTTCCTGGCAGGGTGAGAATAGGGTGAGTAATGAAGGTAAAGTGTTGAATGAAAAAGATGTCTTCTGTTCTACAGATTTAGATAAAATATCAGTTATAAAAGCCATGATTCCAATACATGTAATTATGGTCTCTCCCTACTTTTCCTTTCAGTGCAACTAATGTTGGTGATTATTTAGGCCAAAAACGTTAGCTGTTTACATCTGGCCTACTGAATGATTTAGGGGTGCAGGTTCACCTAGCCCTTGTATACTCTTTTTTCTTAGCCTGCAGTGATTGTTTACATATATATAGAACACATCCAGCATTTGATATTCAGGTCGATGAGGGTCCTCCTGGTACAAAATCTGAAAGCTAGAGAACAGCTTTATACCTGAAAGTTGCATCTTATGTTTTCTTATGGCTGTTTTGCACTTTAAAAACTTTGTTTGAGTAACAGGTAATTCCAGGCATTAATGGCTTTGGCTTTTATAGATATGCTTTCTAGAAGGAAAAGCAATCACAGACGATTCCTTCCATGAACAGAATGGCCACAGTTACTGTATATTTATATGTATACATATACACATCATGATCATTGCTTGTATTGAACTATTTATTAGTTATGCAATAAAACAATTACCTTTTAACTGTACTCTGACACAAGCATAGAGAATAGGCTCTCTCTGAAAGTCAGCCCATCACATACAATGGGTAGAACCCAAGGGAAACTTGACCTTAATTTTGAAGATTCAGGACTAATTACATAATCTTCACCAGAAGGTTGACATCCACAAGGCCTGTGTTAAAGCTTGCAGTCTGTAGTTAGTTGGTCTCCTCCAGCATGGGTTGGGTCAGGAGCGTGGCTCCACACAGCAGCATCACGACCTCAGTGTAGGGATCAGCCTGCCAACTCACTCTTTGCTGGACATTGGCAAAGACTTTCCTGAAAGAGCTGTGTCTTCCCGTTCCCTGAAGAGGCCCCAGCCTGTCCACCCTGTTTACATATGTTCACCTGACTGGCTTCCAGGCTTGGTCCATGAATTCCCAGGCCCAGGGAGCTGTCCTCCTAGGGGACAAGATGTGTAGGAAGAGATCTCTGTGAAGGAAAACAGAAACGAAACAAAAGTTGCTTATACTTCACGACACTTTTCAATGTTAAAATTTCCTTTTTTTTTTCTTAAGACACACTAGAACATCTTAGATTTTTAATGAGGTTATGATTGCTGCTATAGAATTTTGTAAGAGCACCGAGAAGCTGAGAAAAACCATCTTAGTAATTTTATTGATTTACCGCTTTCTTCTTTAACATCCATTCCTCTCGGCAGTCTGTTCAGACAGGCTCCATTTGGAGTCATGGTCAGTGAGTAGGCCATTGTCTTGGTTAGGGTAATGTGGACAGGTTGGGGAGAAGCCTACAGGCGGGGGTTTGGGGGAATGAGATGCAACACACCTGGGCTCTTTCCAACAGACCATTGCATATGGTTGTGGTTGGCTAGGTAACGGTCTTGACCCCGTTTGTGCCAAGTTGTATTTTTCCATTCCCAATTTATTTTGGTATACTTAAACTTTTCCGGGATAAACTGTTCCTCAGGAGATTCCCTTCTGGTCAATTTCTTATCTACCTGAGGCTTTGATGTTGGGAAGCTCTCATTCTTTATTATAAGTAAATCCCTGCTTTTAGGAACAAATGCAGGATTAATGAGAGTGGAGAGAATAGTAACAAACAACAGCAGGACACGAGCTGACAACTGAGGGTGTCCACATCATGGAGAGTTTTCTTCTTGACCCTCAAAGTTAATTCAACAAAACAAATAGGAATGACTGAGTGTATCCGAGTCTGGAGGCATTTAAATCTTCAATTATCAGACTAATAAAAAAAATTCCTAGAATGCTTTCTTAATCTCCCACCTTCCAAATTATTCCTCGTTAAAATCTTCTGTAATACTTCAATGGAATTTCTGTCTTGCACATTGCAGCTACATCTGTGGGTTTGGGAAGAATTTTTTGTAATTAGGTTATAAGACTGGAACAAAACAAAGGTGCATTTGCGTTCAATTTTGGCCATCTTTACGAGTTGGTCTTTGTAGGTCCTACCTGATGTTCATGTGTTGAGGGCCTGCTGTTTAGCTCACCCCACTTGGGGTGCTGGGAACGGGGAGGAGCAGCCAGTCAAGGGGTCTGCCCTCACGGAGCTTACATTTCAGCATGGGCACCCAGACAGGAATAGGAAGAGGCACAAGTAACTAGTAGCTGGGGATGCAAGGTGGGAAGAACACAGAGCAAGGCAAGAAGGATTAGAGACGGGGTGTGGCGGGGTGGGGGTGGGTTGGGGGATGGGTGGTCAGGAAGGTACTGTTTGTGTGTACCTTCCAGATGATGCGACAATGAGCTCTGTAATAACTGGGGAGGAACATTTTAAGGAGAGGGTAGAACAGGTGGGAGGGCCCTAACAGTCCAGACCCTGCAAGACCAGCAGTGTGGCAGGGAAGGAAGGGGCAGCTCAGAGACCATGGGGAATGCTTTGAAGAATTTTCTCAGTGTGATGGGAAGGTTTGAGGGGTAAGATTTGAGTAACATAGTCAGGAATAACTCTGGGTGGGGAATTGGCTAAAGGGGAAGCAGGGAGCCCCACATGACTCGCCTGTGTGTGAGCTGCTCCCTTGGGAGGGTTGAAGGCAGGTGCTAGCTGGGGTCTGCAGCCACTGGGGAGTGAGTGCCCTGCAGGTATGCTGCTGTTGGGTGACAGCGCTGGAGTGGCTGTGGAATGGGAGCAAAGGAACAGGGCAAGGAACAAGTCCTGGGTTTCTTCTGCACCCACAGTGTCTTCATACTGGTGCCAGAGCAAAGCGGAGATGGGAAATAAAGGCCAAGTGAGTGGAAAAAAACCAAATCCAGTGTATATTTGACATAATGCAAAAGTTATATCTTTGGAATTGTGAGTCACATAGTCAGTGATGAGACTTGCGTGGTGGAGCAGAGTTTTAGGGACATTTGTAGGTATGTTATAATTCCAGGGCAGTTCAGTTGTGATCCCACTAAAGTTTATAGCCTTTGAAGGTGAGGCTCTGTCCAGCTCCTCTAAGTACCTAGATTGTGGCCTAGAGATAAGGTTCAGGTCATGTTGGTTTGAATCTAAAGGTTTAGTTGTCTGCAGAGTTGATTTCATTTATGATTCAGATTATGTAAGAAAATATTGGGAATGGAATAAATGCTGGCAGTTTGCAATGAATAATCCATCCTGATTTTTAGTTTCTGAATCCATGAGATTTGAACAGACATCTGATGATACTATCTCATGTGACCATTTCCAGAGGTCCCTGTATCCTGTCTCACAGGTGTGGCCATAAGCCAATGGGTAAGTGCACAGGTAGTTAATGTTTAGTATTGCAGAGGAGGGGTGGATGGGAGATGCCATCCTTTTCCTGGTGGACATGGCTTATAAACCTGCTCTGTCTGGCTTGTGTAGGATGAATTGGATGAACTCCGTGCTGAAATGGAAGAGATGAGAGACAGTTACTTAGAGGAAGATGTTTACCAGCTGCAGGAGCTTCGGCGAGAGCTGGACCGTGCTCATAAAAACTGCCGAATCCTGCAGTACCGCCTCAGGAAAGCTGAGCAGAAGAGCCTGAAAGTGGCTGAGACTGGTCAGGTGGATGGTGAGCTCATCCGGAGTCTAGAGCAGGATTTAAAGGTGGGTGAGTGGGGCTGATGGGGCCTTCATTCCCAGAAGGGGCTTCTGGGTGGAGGGAAGGGAGGGCAGGATTGCAGGTCTGAGACTGGCAGCCCTTCGGACCCACTTAAACACAGTTCTTTCATTCTGGTAGCAGTTCTCTCTCTCTCTCTCTCAACAGATTTCAGCATGCACAGTCTTCATTCACCTTATGGTTTATAGGATAGGTATAGTCATATGGCTTTGACAGCCCAAGATTTAAACCTGTCATTTGAACTGGAATCTTAAAACCTAAGGAAAAGAAATCATAGTAAAGGACCTACAATTAAAAAAAAAAAGAATTGATATTTGCCACTTCATCTGACAGTTATATAGAATGGTATAGAAGCACTTTCTAAAGATCTGGAATATTTAAAAAAATCTATTATCAGTTCAATGATAGTCAAAGACCACCTTTATGGTTGACTATAATCACTTAATCTTTTCATTGTTACTTAAGTTTCTAGAATGCAGAAAATCTGAAATGACCATAACCCAAGGGTAGTAGAGTTTGATTTAACTGAAAGAGAAATAGGATGAAGCTAATTGTCTAAGGTGTTTTGGAAAACCACTGGCAGAAATGCGAATGAGGTGAAGAAATTGCAGATATTATACCATTTTCTCTCTTCATGGGTAGCATGGCTTCTCTCATGCCCCAATTATCAAATCATTTATCAAGAGATGAATTATGCATAATGTCCTCCTTATTATAGGAGTACTTATGAACTCTCATTTTGCCTTTCATTATGATAACAGGAAAAGAATCTTTGTAATTCTATCAAATCTATAAACCACTCACAAAATGTCATTCAGTGGAATGTAAGGGTGATTTATATTTCTCTTGCAAAATCTCTTGCCTTGTTTCCTTTTAGAAGGTAAAAATGTTTAACTGCTTTGACATTCAGATATTTTACCACAGTAGACAATTGAAAACTTGACTATGTTATTTTACAGGATTGTTTTGTTTTTTTTCAGCAGGTACCTTTAGTATTGCCTTAGGGAACAGAAATGTTGATTGATTAATTGATTGTTATTGTTATTTCTAATTTATCATTAAAGCATGTGTGCGTGAGCGGAATTGGCATTCTTGTTGGCATTCTATAAGGAGGTAGGGAAAAAAAAAAAAAAAGGAGGTAGGGCTAGGGGCAGTAGCCTTTTATTCCAGATAAAGGTAAAGGTCATATTCTCACTCCTAATGTGAATTTCATGTTTGAAACTAACACCCTAAAAAAAAAAAAAAGGAAAGAAACAAGAAACTAACACCCTCCTTCTTTAAAGATAGGCTTGTTAATATTGCCAGGGTCTTTGCCCTTTACTGTGATCTCCTATCACTTAATGATTCTGCCTCTGCTTCACCTTCTAATGATGATCTCTCTTGGTCATTACAGGTAGCCAAAGATGTATCTGTCAGATTGCATCATGAACTTGAAACCGTGGAGGAAAAGCGTGCTAAAGCAGAGGATGAAAATGAAAGTCTCCGGCAGCAGATGATTGAAGTGGAGATATCTAAACAGGCCCTCCAAAATGAGCTGGAGAGACTGAAAGAGGTAATCCCAAAATACACGGGGATTTCTTTCCTGGGTTTAATTGTTAGGGGCTTGGAACTCCAGGAATCTCATTTGGTGAACTATGGTTTGTTTGTATGGCCCAGAAACCAAGAATGGTTTTTATATTTTTCATAGCATTGTAAAACAACAAGCATACAAATACAAACCTAAAGAAGTAAGGAAGACTATATGACAGAGACTGGATGTTGCTTGCAAAGCCTAAAATATTTGTTGTCTGACCCTCTACAGAAAAGGCGTGGTGAACCATGGTCTAAAGCTACTTTTTTTCGTTTCCCTTCAGATGAGCTGGCCATTAATTCCTCTTATTGGTCCAAATGGAGTATATTATTACTAGAATACAAAATTAAGCAGTGGCTTTTTCCTCAAATCTCCTCTTCCAATGAGCTGGAAAATATGGTTGTCTATTAAAGCTGTGTAAACAAATAATATGTGTCTTCTACCTATATCTACTTTTAGGCAATATGGTTTAAATACAGTTTTTTTTTTTTCCTTTCTATTTTAGGGAGTAAATGCATTCTAGCCAAGCAGCATAGAAAAGCATACATATATATATATACACACACACAGATATATATTTCCCTTTGCACACAGTAATGCAAATGTTGTTTTGTTGTTGACTTCCATTATAAGATTAAAGCTGAATATGTTCTTTAAAAATATCCTGCATATTGGTGGATTTAAAAACTATTGGTTAGGGCTTTACCAGCCAGCATTATTACCTGCTAATAGTCTCATTTAGTTCATTTTCCCTTTGGACAAGTCTCCTGATTCACCCAGTTATTCCTCATCCATCCAGCTGTCCACCTGCCCACACTTAACTCAGGCTCCGTACCTTGCCCTGGGAGTGCAAATGTGGATAGAGCAGTACAGGCTCTGTTCCCAAGATGCTTACAGTTCATTTGACAAATGGATAGCAAAACAAATAAATCACAGCAAAGGAGCTGGTGTTGCTACCTCTCTGTGTCACCCTCGCCCTCTCACAGCTGCTCAGGTGTCCTGCTGTTTCTCGAGGTTGGGAAGGCACAACATATTTTTTCCAGAGATCTACATCCCTGGGGTTCAGGCCCTTGCCTTCAGGTCTCTGCTGACATCTCACCTCAGCCACTGGCTCTCCACACTTACACACTGAAGTTGTCCCTGCCTCCACCCCGGCCATCCCATCCGCCTTCCCATCTGACACAGATGTTATAGATTTTGGTGAATTGCTTGTGTGTTGTCAGCAGTTGTCTGAAATTGCAGTGAGTTTTATTTCTCTGTCACCTTCATGAATGTGCCTCCAGCACTTGAGCTCTGTGGGAAAAGGGTGTGTCTGTGGAGTTCACTGTGGGGTCTCCGTTCCTAGAACAGTGCCTGGCACTTAGGCACTGTCAGGGACTCGCAGGGTGAGGGAGTGAATGAAGGGTGACAACGTGGAGCTCTGGTGACCACAGCTTACCTGGGGACTTGGTGAACTTCACAGAGGAGGAGGTAGAGTCTAAGAATGTTCTTTCATCAGGGGTAACCCTTGCTCCTTAACTTACTTGTGTACTTACCCCTGGGACTGGGGGAATTTCTTCTCCTCTTGTCAGTCTCTTACCTCTAAGAGTTGCTAGTCATTTACTCCCTTCTTTCTCCTTTGATCTAAGTTTGCTACAAGGTTTGCCATAATGGTTTCTTTTCTTAGAATTTCCAGTTTGCTCCAGACCTTGAGGATATAGAAAACATCTTAGGAGTATATTTTATAAGTTTTATATGTGTGTGTGCTTACATATAAATACTTAAATTACATATACACATAAGTAAATAAATAGTTAAAGCAAGCAAAGTTTATCTTGCACACATGGAAGTGGATTTGTGTAGGACTTGGCATCAGGTCACAAATAGCAGTTCAGGGAGAAAAATGATTACTGACATTAGAGCCAGGCAGGGGTGAGGCAAGGATTTTCAGAAGCTGTGATGTTGGCTCAGGCTGGATGTACACAGAGAAGGTGGCAGGGCCAGCCTCTCTCTTACTTTACAGGTTAAATTTACTCACAGAGATTGCTTGATTGGGATGCAACTGTATTTTACCTGCAGAACTGCAGTCAGACTTGTGAGACTGTATTTACACCAGACTTCATGGTTCTAAACAAATCCTAGAACTGACAGTAGTCTGAGGAAGGCAGATGCTGTAGACTGTGCTGGAAGCAGAGAATGATGGAACTAGGCGATCCAAGGTTCAAAGGTGGTAGAGGAGATAATTATTGGAAAGTGCCAGCTGTGGTCTTCATGAATGGATTCCTTTTACTGAAGCCAGAACAGAATGCACTATAGGCTTTGCTCTAGGGTGAGGATAAATATTTTCTCTATCTTGAGTCCAGCTCCTTATTGTTCACCTCTGAAGTTTTGTAATCGGATGAGTTGGGTTCTGGAAAAGGCACAGAGAGTTGCGCATTGCCTGCGTCTTTCAGTGACAGAAGTAGCTGCGGATGAGGGACCATGCCGTGTCCCTCTCAGCCTTGGAGGACAGTAGAACAGCACCATCTTGGTGCCTCTTCAGTTCTGGAACTGCTGCTGGGTTCATCTCTGCAGACTGTTCAGCTGCCTGGTGGACCTCTCCAAGATGGATTTCCCCTAGCACTCCAAAGAGCGTCCAGAAACAGACTTGTCACCCTCATCCCCACCTGAATCTTTCCTGTCTTTGCCATTTATGTTAATGGCGCTACGGTTCTTCAGGCTTGAGCAATGACAGATCCCATTAGCTCTCTTACTGCTCACACTGAGATGGCCTTCAGGTTCTGCTCTTCTGCTTTTTCAGTCTTGGGGGTTTTCTGTCTCACTGATACATTCTGTACCACGGATGAACTGCAAACATAGGCCAAGTAAAAAGAAGCTGGCCATAGTGCACAATTCCATTTATCAGAAGGATTCAGGATAGATAAATCCTGAGCCAGAAAACAGATTAGTAGTTTCCAGGGGCTGGGGAGAAGGGAGAGGACTGCTTCATGCGTGTGGGGTCTGTTTCTGGGGTCATGAAAAGGTTCTAAACTAGATAGAGGTGACGGCTGCACAACAATGTAAGTGTACTACATGCCACTGAGTTGCATACTGTAAGATGGTCAGTTTCTCAAATAACAATTTTTAGATTCTCTATAATCTATCTGAACTTTGACCAGTCTTCTGTCAAGTGGATATTTGAAGGCTGACTCTATGCAGTCAACACAGTAAAGGCAGGCACTATCTCTGGTCTCTCCCTTCTATTTTATCTCCAACAAACCCCCCGAATCTGACCATGTGATTCTCTGCTTAAGCAGCTGAACTTACCGGCTCCTGATTGTCTAGCTCTTTAGCATGAAGACCCTTCCTGCCAGGGGCCATCCCTGTCTCCCATCTAGTTCTCCCTCTCTACTGCCATAAACCCTGGAGTGAAATAAAAGGCAGTAGAGCAAGATGAGAAGAATCTGTGCCCTCTGGTCCCCTTTAAGTGGGTCTTAGAAAAGTCACTGTCTCCATTGATAGATAAGGTGATTAAAGAAGGTTGGCAATATGAAACTATTTGGAATTGTCCCTTTAGGTTTAGCTACCTTGCTTGCCTGTTTCCCTTGTGCATATTCACATCATGGTACACACCCAACACCCGTACACCCCTCCACTTGTGCAAGCTCAAAACATTTTTACCTTTTTTGAGGGGCATATTTCTTTTAGTACTCAACTCTATGATGAAATATCTTGACAGATTGAAAATGGTTTATCTTAGCTTAGTTTCAGCTTCTTGAAGATTGCCTCCACTGAACAGTATTTCATTCTACCAAAAATTTTTCAATACTTATTAGATGTTAGGCAGAAAAATAACTGGCCAAGTTAATTGGCACTTGTAAGGCACAGAGACATGTTGTAGATCATTCCAGGGAACTGGGCTTTTTGTTTTGTTTTTCTTATTCAGGTATAATTGACATAAAACATATTTGCTTAGGGTGTAATGGTTCACTCTTGTACGTATTGCAAAATGATCACCACAATAACTAGTTAACATTCCTTGTTAAACACAGGAGTTCAAAAATTTCTTTTCTTGTGATGAGAACTTCTAAGATCTCTCTTAGCAACTTTCAAATATGCAATACAGTGTTATTAACTATGGTCATTATGCTGTACAATACAGCCCATGACTAATTTATTTATTTTAACTGGAAGTTTGTATATTTTGACTGTCTTTACCCCTTTAACCCAACCTAGGATTGTTGAACGAACCCACAGTCAGCTCTTGCAGGACACCTTTCAGCACCATTCAGGATATGATAATGATTTTCTGGGTTTGGTTGAGACTTATTCTGTGGCTAGGAGATGGCTAACATTTTGAAAATATTTCTTGAGTGCTTGAGAGGAAATACTCCAATTTTGGGGTGAAGACTTTAAATCCATTAGATTAAAACTTTCAAACTTTAACTATAACAGCAAGCAGTAGATTTTGTATTATCACTCCAAATATAAACATAAAGGTTTCACCAAATAATGCTTATCTTTGCCATGGGGGATACACTTTAATATTTTCAATTCTATTCAGTTCTGTTTTTTTAAATGGTGGTTATAAGTTTGATTTACAGTCAATTAGTGGATTGTTGCAATTTTGAAAAAGTTTTTTAGATTATTTATTGATTGTGTTCAATTTTTTTATCTTCTATAGTTTTGTCTGCTAAATATATCTATTTAGATAAACGTGAAGATTTTCTGTTGTAATTACAAATTACTGTTGTAATTTTATATTTATATTTTTTGTAATCTGTCAAATTTTGCTTATATATTTTGAATATAAATGGATATAGATTTAAAACTTTTTTTAGAACTGTTTATTATTGATGAATTGTTCCCTTTATCATTTGATAATAATCTCTTTATTCTAATGTATTCTTTTTTTTTTTTTAATTTGCCTGGTATAGTTTTGTGCTTCTGTTAGTTTCCATATTTCTATGTCCTTATGTTTTAGATGTATTCTTGTGAATGGTCTAGCTGTTTTTTTAAAAAAT